GGTTTATATTTGATAAATTTGGATAATTTATTTATTAATATACTATTTAATATGAAGTACAGGTATGTATTTATTAAAGGTGTTAGCTCTACTAAGTTCTTGTTATGGTTTAAGCTTTAAGTTGCTCTATTAACGTCTCGTTATATAGTATTTATATAATATGATTATATACAATATGTTGAGCGTCATTGTATATTAGTATTGTTTATGATACTATTGTAGTTATGTATTGTCAGAGATCACTAAGTGAATAGGTCTCTTTAATACATTGTTTGGTGTTGGATAGTTAACCTTTGTGTTAAGGTCTATTCGGTTTAAAGCTTTCGTTGGGCGCTTTTGGTATTAGAGTTTTATTTACTCTTATACTGGTCATTATATTTATTATAACATTGTTGGGCGTTTTTGGTATTTTCATTTTCTTTGTGGACGTTGTGAGCTTTTGATTGAGCTTGTAATAGAAGGGGGGTAAACCATTACTTGTGAGTGCAAATTAATGCCTCAGGCAAGTTTAATAATTCTGAGTGTTGGGCGTTGTTTCTTTCTTGAGCATTAATATATATCTATTAATGCTTGGGCACTTATGTTATTTCATAAGTCGCTTGGGCGTTTTGATGTTCTAGTATACCATTCTTGGGGTATTGAGCTTATTTGTTTAAGCTATTATATAAGAGTTGTTATGGACATTGTTATTTAAGCTTGAATTTGTTTGAGACTATACTATTGTATGTCTATATTATTTTTGGGCGCTAATCGCCTTTTATTCAGGGTGAGCCATTGACGGCTTAATGTTTCAAAGGTTAAAAGCTATTGTATTTATACATTCAAGAAGACTATGCTAATAGGGTTACTAATATTAGATTTGTAAGCTATTACTAATAACTTATTATGATTAATAAGTTATAAAGATATTTATAAGCAAAGATTTATAATTAAGAATTAATAATATAATATAATAATAAATAATCGGGTTGACAATTTTGGCAATTATTTGGATCTTCTGATTTTTCCGATTTTGGTAATCGTAGAATTTGCAAAGTATGACATTTGCTATGTGTTACTGGCGTGATCGGAGAGAGTGACGGGTGAGATAACATGTACGCCGGACGCTTTGCTATAGCTCTTGGCGATGAATTGTGATATAGCATTCACAGGTAATTCGGTTTTTTAGCCGAATTGTTTTGTTCATCACTGTCATATGGCGTTTTGTATTCTTCAAAAATTTCTTGATTAGGAAATTGTTCCTGGATATGATTATTGGTAATCTTTCCTTTTATGGTCCATTCTTCTAAGTAACTTGGTATATATTTTTCGAATATTTCTTCTTTA